TCTAGTTCCACCCCCCTGCCATGAGCAGGGATGCCTCACAGTAGACCATGTTGCCCAAGGCTCTGTCCAGCCTGGCCTTGAACAATTCCAGGGGTGGGGCATCCACAGCTTCCCTGGGCAATCCATTCCAGTGCCTCACCACCCTCACAGTAAACAACTTCATGTTAAGTTTCTCATCGACCAACATAGTCAAGTCCTTCTCTGCACGGCTGCTGTGAATCTTTTCTTTGCCCAACCTGTAGCTGTGCCTGGGATTGCCCTGACTCAGGTGCAGGACCTTCTGCTTGGCATGGTTAAACTTCATGAGGTTGGTATTGGCCCAGCTCATAAGCATGTCAAGATCCCCCTGGATGGCATTCCTTCCAGATGCTCTATGCTTCTTAGGCAGGAAAAAACAATTCAGTTCAGTGTTTAATAAATAGTTGGAAGATATAATAAATACCATTTAGCACATTTTAAAGCCCATGAGGAATGATGTAAGTCATCACAGTTTAGCCAAGAGAAACATCTTCTGCCTGTATGATAAAATAACCTCCCACTCATATATCTGGTAGACACCAGCGTGTTACAAAAAAAAAAAAACAACAACCCAACTTTAGTAAGGGTAAAGATAACTGAAGGAATAAATCAAGGGTCTATTTTAATTTGTGTAGAATTCTTTATAAAAGTGAAACATCTTTCCTGGTGAAGTCAATTAAAAATCAGTTTCCTTTCCTCCTACATGCCTTATTTTGCTATCCCTTTACTGACATAACAGGAGAAGGATCTACAGAACATCAGGAAATGAGACAGGAGCTCTGCTCAAGAAATAGTCACCCAACTCTGCAGGAAGATGTAGCCCCTTCTCACTCTCATCTTTGACAGCCATCTGTATCTCTGACATGAAAGCCTTTTACCAGGCCCAGCCAACGAGTCAGAGGTGGAACTGCTGATGGAGACCGGTGTCTTCACAGCACTTAACCATGCACACGGGTACCTTTGCTGCAATCTAAGGCTGTGTTGTACTTCCTTTTGGGAACACAAGGAAGAAAGAATGGCTTTCTGTCCAAGGCCTTTGCATCTGACAACTGCAGTCAGGTCTCCTTCCTCTCCGTCATAGGCTAAGACCCTTAAATTCTTCCAAACCTCCCTTCTACATTGCTTTCCAGACTTCTGATCATTTATTATTCTTATTGCTAACAATTTCAGTTAACAACTGAATAATGAACTTTTATTAATGAGAACTAAAATGAGAGCTATGCGACTGACAGAATTAGAGCAGAATTATATATAAATGGTTTTACATGAAATAGAGTGAGAATGGGAACTTATTTGTTGGTCCAAAAGTAAACACAAATGTCCTCAAAATAATACCCCAGATGAGTAGTGCTGAGTACAGCTAACTATGCTAGTGTTACATGTCGAAAGCCCATTATTTCTAACTTCTGCAAGTAATCTTTTTTTTTTTTTTCCCTATGGTTTATCACAATTTAAGAGTAGTTTCTTAAAAGAAAACGGGCTATGAAAAAGAAATGGGGCTGTGGAACTGATGGACAGGGGTAGAGCAGTTGACATCATCTACCTGGACTTGTGCAAAGCGTTCAACACTGTCCCACACGACATCCTTGTCCCTAAATTGGAGAGACATCAATTTGATGGATGGACCACTCAGTGGATAAAGAACTGGCTGGATGGCCGCACGCAAAGTGTTGTGGTCAATGGCTCAATGTCCGGCTGGAGACCAGTAATGAGTGGTGTCCCTCAGGGATCGGTGTTGGGACTGGTCTTGTTTAACATCTTTGTCAGTGACATGGACAGTGGGATTGAGTGCGCCCTCAGCAAGTTTGCCCATGACACCAAGCTGTGTGGTTTGGTTGATACCCTGGAGGGAAGGAATGCCATCCAGAGGGACCTTGACACGCTTGTGAGGTGGGCTGATGCCAACCTCATGAAGTTTAACCATGACAAGTGCAAGGTCCTACACCTGGGTCGGAGCAATCCCAGGCACAGCTACAGGATGGGCAGAGAAGAGATTCAGAGCAGCCCAAGGAGAAGGACTTGGGGGTGTTGGTCAATGAAAAAATGAACATGAGCCTGCTTCAGTGTGCGCTCACAGCCCAGAAAGCAACCGTATCCTGGGCTGCATCAAAAGGAGCGTGACCAGCAGGTCCAAGGAGGTGATCCTGCCCCTCTGCTCTGCTCTTGTGAGACCTCACCTGGAGCATTGTGTGCAGTTCTGGTGTCCTTAACATAAAAAGGACATGGAACTGTTGGAACAAGTCCAGAGGAGGCCACGAGGATGATCAGGGGACTGAAGCACCTCCTGTATGAAGACAGGCTGAGAAAGTTGGGGCTGTTCAGCCTGGAGAAGAGAAGGCTGCGTGGAGACCTCATAGCAGCCTTCCAGTATCTGAAGGTGGGCTATAGGGATGCTGTGGAGGGACTCTTCATTAGAGACTGTAGTGATAGGACAAGGGGTAACAGGTTCAAACTTAAACAGGGGAAGTTTAGATTGGATATAAGGAAGAAGTTCTTTACTGTCAGGGTGGTGAGGCCCTGGAATGGGTTGCCCAGGAAGTTGTGAATGCTCCATCCCTGGCAGTGTTCAAGGCCAGGTTGTACAGAGCCTTGGGTGACATGGTTTAGTGTGAGGTTTAGTGTGACCCAACCCCCCCATGGCAGGGGGGTTGGGTCTAGATAATTTTAAGGTCCTTTCCAACCCTAACTATTCTATGATTCTATGAAAAGTGTTTTGTATATCATTTTTGAAAAACTGGATTTCAGATAAGCTTAACATCTAGTTACAAATTAACAATAGGCAAAGTGAGTCCCTAAGAATGAAGGAATATTAATAGTGACATAAACATATGGAATTAAGTAAAGTTAGTCTCGTGGCCACTAATTATTCCCAGACAGAACAATGGTAGTTTGACTCCAGAACCCATCGCATGCAACTTTCTGGTATATGGTTTATAGATTTATTTGGAGATATCTACAGTGAACTTTAGATATTTTTTTTTTTCCTCTTCTGGGTTTGATATAACAGTTATTTATCATTTTCTTTCTACTGCTGTATTCCTGATGGGCTGATTTTTTGCATTAACTGCTTGTGGTACATTGGCACAATGTTTTCAGCTGCTGTGCAGAGTCCCTGACCCAAACTATTTGAAAGTGGCATTCACATAGAGAAATGTTGGATTTTTTTTTTTTTTATTGAGGAATGGGCACAACAGTAACACCCATAGCCCACCTCTCAAGGGATAAATCTACCTTCATGCCAAAGAAAGAACCCAGTTTGAGGGGTTTTGTTGGGGTGTTTTCCAGTGAACATTTAAAATAGAGTGAAAACTGCACGTGATTCTGGGGAAGGTGTGAATCCATCTTCAAATTAAACATCTGAATTGAATTCATGTGGGAGAAGACAGTAGAAATAGAACCACAGAGTTAAGCAGTTCATCTAAAAGCTGAATTGTGTCAGATGAGAAAGCACTGACAGTCCTGTCAGCACTGGAATGTATCTGCAGTTCCAAGGAGAAAAAATAGTACAATGACTGAAGCTGAAGTCAATGAACACTGTTCACAAACAGAACTCAACAGTGCAAATGACCATTACCTCCTCCTTTGTGTCAGGATACACATCAGGCCAGACGAGGGTGATGTTTATAGCAAACGGGACACAAAATTGTGATGGAACGTCTTATGCGTAATTATTATCAAAGTATTTTTATTGTGTTTTCATACTCAATTCTCAAACTCTCAGGAGAACTCTCATCTCCTGAAGAAAGCAAGTTTTTGTATGACCTTGGCATATGCATTGGGGTGGGGAGGGAATCCAGTTGACAGTTATAAAGGAACATTAATAAGCATTCTTCATAACAAAGCTTGATTATTTTTTAAAACCCCAAAACTATACAGTGTCTTTTAAAAATTATGGGAAAATAGTATGTGAAGTGTTTTTATACAATAAATAATCTATTTTCCATTAATGTACAAAATCAGCTGTATACCAAGAAACTGATACAAATGCAATAACTGAAAGATATATTTAATTTTATAACTATAATAATTTATGAAATATATCCACATATATATAAAATATATATATTTTGGCAAAGACCTCCCTTTCTTGTTTCAAACAAAGTCTATAACCACTGTTTGAAGCTTACATACAACCACGTCTGCTGTTAATGTATTTTCATTTTATTGTTGGTCTCCATCATTCTTATGTGAAAATATAATTTAATGTCATCGGGTTATTTAACCTTTGTGCTCTGGGGAAAGTCTGTGTGAAGGTCAGTCAAACAAAAGCATCTGTAATGTCACAAGTAAGAGATTTCCTCTTTTTTTTTTTTTTTTTAATAATACAGAACAGGATTTGCAAAAGTTACTTTTTTTCCAGCTTACTCTTGCATCCTCCTGTCAAAGTCCATGATTTCTAAAGAAGTCATTCACAAACGTTAAGGGCTGGATATAATCCTTATTGCCAAGTTTCTGAGTTAATCAGTGATGATGTTTCAATGAAGAGATAAAAATGTGATTTTTACAGTACTAGCAAAGAGGAATGTGGATGATAACTTATGTAGGGGCTTAGAACAGCACATGGTCTAGCACAGTGAGTTAGTCTGATTGTATGACGTTTCATTTGAAGTTCCACAGTCCTACCCTTTCATCTACAGGAAATTCTTTGGGATGAATAATTGGAGTTCTGTTCGTCAACTACAGTGCATCTAGTGTAGAAGTTTTTGAACAGAACTTTGAAGTGCAGGAATAATTTGTGCCTAAATTAGGTAATCTATTGAATACTCAGTGTATACTTTTGACTTGCTATAGTTTATAATATTTATAATAGCCATCCATCTTTAGTCTGCATAGATGCTGTCATTTAAACATCTGCCACAAAGTTAAAATATGATAATTCAGGCTTGCATACATTAACAAGAGCAAGATTTTGTATCAGTTTATTCTTAATGAGAACTCATGTATAGGCAATCTGTCTAACTCATCACATTCTCCAGTTACAGTTGCCTGCATGAAGCTGGGGATGGATTCTTCAGACACAGAGTGAGCAGTAAGTGGCACAGTAAGTTTCTGTTGTTCTTCTTTAAATTGCATAGAAAAATGTTTCTGAAGCTTTGTATTGATGAAGTTCAGATCTGCCTTTGAATTCTTCAATAGTGATACATTCCCTGCCAGGTTATGTGATAAATATTACCCTTTACTGAGACTCTTGCGAGAGGAACATGGGAGAAAGCTTCTTCATATATGTTTACATGCCCTCAAAGTGGCATTGTTGAAATGAAAGTGTTGCGCTCTGATGAATTCTCCACTGGCATCAGACTGAAGCATCAAGTTTGTCCATCTCAAGGGAGGGCTGTAGTTTAAGTTCTTGCTTCTGAGCTTCAGCAAATAAACATTAAAGCTCTAAAAACAAAACAAAAAACTGCCTAATTATTCAGACTAACTGCCTGTTATCTGATAGAACTATGGTTCATCTCCTTGACTGTGCACAGTAAATACTACCCAGTTGTCTAATTGCCTCTGATCACATAATCATAGCAATAAATTCAGCCTGGGGACTTCTAATCCAAGTGCTTCCCTTCATAGCAAAAAATTTTGACTAATGGTGTGATTAATTACTTTAAAAAGAAACAAACAATTTGTCTAGTTCTAATGGCCTACAAGTAGTTGCTTATCCTGACATCATATTGCATTTTGTATGTAGCAATAGCATTAAGGGTAGATTTGGAACTTGGAACTTTCTGAAACTACCTATAAGGTCTCAGTAGCCTCCTTATATCTAATATCTAAACTAAGTTTATTTTTCCCTCCAAATACTGTATCCACAAAGTTTGTTCTGCTTCTTTACCTTGACAGTTTAAGTTTTACTGAAGCACTGCATAGGGACATGTAGCTGAAGCTATTGCAGTGCTAAATGAATGAGATAGAAACAGCCCATGCCCTAAAAAATAATAGAAAACGGGACTGTTGCCAAAATATGTATCGGCTTATAGCCAAAGAATCCAACTTTTAAAGGAGCTACATCAGCATGAGGAAAGCTAGAGTAGTTCTGTGTATACTAGAGGTTATTTAGGAAAAAGAGTAATTGAAAAAAAACCACTAAAAAAATAAAATCCCAAACAAGTCCTGAGCCAGACTCTGCCCTTATCTAGCAAGCACTGATAGTACTCAGTTAAAAAAATGTAGTTTTGCAAATATGAGGAAAGTTTATGTAATGTTTAATGTTGAAAAGAAATACTAGTATCTGTAGCATACCTGACTGTTCAGAATCCTCTGAACTCTCTGCGCTACTGGATCAAAGTGTGTTCTTCCCTGCCCTGGTCTTTCTCCCCTGTCTGTTTCATTGATCCATGATTTCTGGAAAAGAGAGATTGCCACTGTGTTCTCATCAGTTATCCTCACAGAGCCATTCATAAAATGACAATGTCATTTCACTCGTTATTAGATTAGATAAAACTTAAACCACTCTAAAACAGTGCATGACCCTAACTGGACAGGAGATCTGCTGTTTCAAAAATACCGCATCATAAAAAGAAACAGCAAATAGCAGTACTGCAGCAGGCTTGGCCTCTTTCCTTCACCTATTAAACTCTCCTGGTTGTGAGACATGAGTTTTCTCACTGTTCTTCCTGTTCACTCCCCCATCCTTCTTAAGTGGGAAGTGAGCAAGCAGCTGTGTAAGTGCTTGGCTGCTGGCCAGGGTTAACTCACCACAACTGGAGAGGAGAATGTTTATTTAAAAATCAATCTATTTGTTAATCGGTTTCATATGATACATGCAACTTGACTAATTCACATCTGTGCAACAGCGAATCATGTTTGACTATTTGAAGTTTGCAATATTAAGAAAAGCTACTCACCTTCTTCTGTCTTGCATTCTTCTGCAAAACTGCATACACTGTTCGTCATGAGTATTCATACAAGAACACCTATTTGAAGACTGGAAAGTATTTTGAATCTGCCCTGTAGATCTTTTGCCTCTAAAATTGCCTTTGTAGTTAGAGAGCCCGTACGGCACAGTCCTCCTGTTGTAAGAATCATAAATAATGGTACATTTTAGGAGCCAGTTAAAATTATATTCCATATATTTTCTGGTTTGAAAATAGATCTCTTGATGCAAAGTAATAAATAGCAGCAGAAAAATGAAACCATATGCTTATGTAAGAAGTTCCCCCAGTAACAGATCACAACTTCTGCTCTTCAACTCAGCCTTTCACACAGTTCTAAAGTAGCAGACAGCCAGCTCAACCGGTAGAATTAATTGGCAACTACACTGGCTACCTAAAACAATTATTACCCAACAGCTGATACAAATACATCCCCAGGTTATTGCTTCTTCTACTGCTTATTCTTTACCTTGTTGGCTCCCTAGCCCCCCCCCCACCCCCCAAAAAAAATCCACAAAATGCGTTCTGTTCAGCACTGCAGTTGGTATGACGTGAAAAAGGAGCTGTGCTGACTTCCCCCAGATAAATAATACCGTATCATTGTGTCATCCTCATGATTCAGAGCCTGATCCACCGTTAATTTTATCACTGAGAAAAGCAGAAAACTGTAAGCATGATTTATTGCACCATAGTTGGATCATGACCTATGGAGTTAAAAATGTGAAAAACAGCTAGATTATCTTCCTTGTACGTATCTACTAGTGCTTTTCTACAAGGAATCATATTCTGTGCTGCAGCACACCGAGAAATAGTTAGAGGTAGTTCTCTTTATTTCCCTGTAATCTGGCATGCTCTGTTCTTTAATGGGTTGGAGTCAATGTTATTATCGGAAAAGGACACAGTTCTAACATCTGCCTGCTAACATCCCCAAAAAGCATTGGATAATGTCATAAATCATTCTCCTACAAGTTGTTAAACAATCTCAACTGATAGCAGGCGTACACCACGTGGAACTTCTGGAGACCCATAAACATTCCTGTGTACTTGAGGGATGGGCTAAGCAAGCCACAAAGCCACAAACACTAAAAATCTGTCGAGAATTTCATAATTCAAAGGTGAAAAGGGGGGGGGGGGGGGGATAAATTAAAAAAAACAACCAATCAACCAAGAGGCAGGGAAGAGGAAATCAGGATAAGTAAGGCTAGATCTGGGAAAGTTACAGAACAAAGCCTGAATAATCAGTCTGGAACCACGAATCACATACCTGTAATTCTTTCATTTGCTTTCACAAAAACATCATTAGGCTATTAATGGGAAAGGTGCAAATATGTTATTTTCCTACACTCATGGTGGGCTGAAGGTCCAGAAACACTGTTTTCTTCATTTCTGCTATAATTTTTGATGTAACATCAGTGCAGTTGATGTAAAGAATTTCTTCAAATCTCTGCACTTACAGTATGTGTGAGCTTGTACTAGTGCAGTGCATCTTTCACAGCTTGAACCAAAGCATACCTACCGTGTAGAAATTTATCATAAAGTCATACCGGAGTACAGAAAATCCTGTGTGTCAGAGAGCATGTGATGGTGTTTCTCGAGCACGTGCTGGTCTGCTGCCCCTATATGCACACACTGTTGTGTATTTCACTACTTTATTCTGTGGCTGTGCCTAGACACTGGGAGAGACCTTAAAAGACTTCAGAACTCTTGGCTGCCCCTTCTCAAACAGTCATTTAAAACGCTCTTCATTGTCTTCAGGATTAGGGATGAGTCCCATGTTGTGAGTGACAAGTATTAATAATTCTGTACTTCCATGTACCTTAGAATAATGAATGCCAAACAGCTAATGTAGGTAACTTCTGACAGAAATAACTGCTATATGGTCATATTTTTTTATACATTCCTTGTTTTTATGAATTAATGACCGTAATTCTCCCAATATGCCTGGTTTTGATTTCTAATCAAAAATTCAAGCCCAAAACAAATAAACCTCAATAGCAACCCAGAGGCTTTCAACAATATTCATAACAAAGAGCTAAAATATCATAGATGTTTTCTTGCCTGTCAGCTACTCTGATGCAACTGATAAATCGCATCATTTAAGCAAATGTTAGTGTGTGTATGACTATCATTCCAGATGCTGAAAACACTAATATTTCAAGTTAGTTCATGCTTCTTTCTCAGAAGTTCAGAAGTGAGATACCAAAGAGATTCAGCTGAACAAGTATCAGAAGCATTTACCTAGCAGCATGCTTAATCTTAGGTTGCTACATGTGTTACCTGTTGCTTTTTATATTCTTTTTTTATGAGGCTGCAATGCTCAGGTTCAAACTGAAGCAATTTCAACACGCTGAATGAGAATTATTGTCAAAATTTAGTTGTCACCAGGCTTCTGTGACACTACTCTGTTTTCCATTCCAGCTGAGGCATCTCTTTTCTTTAGCCAAAGCTTGCTGACTTCAGTATGCACAGGACAGTTTGTGTCTCTGCAGTGAAGATGAGAAACATCTGAACTAGGCAGAGTTAGCCATCTGCAAAGCTTCTGGGGATCCTGAACAACCAGTTCCCTTACGCTGTGTTCCTTGTGGTTGCAACCAGATCCCTGGACAAAGTACCAGCTAAGAGCCATTTACAAACTTCTTGGATATTTCTACCCCAAATCCACAGATTTAAAAAAAAACAAACAAAAAAAAAAAAAAAAAAAAAACACCAAAAACCACCAAACCAAAACAAAAAAAAACAACAAAAAAAAAATCCCGAAAAACTATTCACAGGAAATTTTGAATTTCTGACCTTTAACTCTGTGAGCATCACTTTTTCCTTTAGGAGAACAAAATTCTCCTGAAGCCATGAAATGGGCTTCTACATATTTAAAAGCTAAGGTGCACTGTGTATCCGTTATGCCTTTGCTCTCTACAAAGTGGAGAACAAGCAAATCTAGCAAATCTATGCAACTCCAGATCAGCCTTCCCATGGTGCTACATTGAACTGGTATCTGTGTGGCACCTCTGGGGAAAGCAACCCTCTGTTGTAGAGTTCAGTTACCACTACGATTATTGCAGCCAGTGAGTAGGTGCACACAAGGCTGCATCTTCAGTTTTAAAGCACTTTTTAAATTACAGAAAGTCTGATTTTAAGCAAATAGCTGCTTCTTCAGTATAAGATACTTTTTCTTTAT